CACAATCCAGCAATAGGAGAAAATGTGAGAAACTCAAGATACCCCCGTGTTGATTATGTTTAGTATAAATTGGGACAGAGAAACTTGAAAGGCTGATTGATGTCAGCCCTTTGAAGTAGGCCCAGTCAAAAAGAAACGCTACAGGGATTCCAGGAGTGCTACTGTACATATGTGTGTGTGTGTGCATATTACCTATATACCTTATATAGGTAATATAAGGTATATTATCCAAATGTTGAAAGCCTGTCCAGGTTTCTCTGTCCAGTCTTTATTTTTTTAGCAAATTGATATAGCTGCCCATCTCACAAATGTGACTTAAACTGAACATAATCAAGGTGGAGTTATTTTGAATTTCTTTCTCACTTTTCCTTCTGTCTCTGGATTGTGCAATCTCTTCTCCAAGTCCCTCCTTAACGGCTCTCTCGTGCCTTCCCCAAGGTCACCTCTAAACTCCTTTATAGTCTAGAAGTCTGGGTGGCCAGCTGCCTAGGATAAAAGAATAAAAAGCTAAGTTGGGATGGTGGAGAACGTTTGGTAGCTACCTCAAGAGTTTTTTGGATTGGCCATTTTCATCCTCCCCAAATTCCTGCTGTGTCCAGCAAATGGTTGTCAAGCCTGGTTGAGCTGGTATTTCCATCCCCTCCCCCAAATTCCCAATCACAAATTTTCCCAAGTACTTTTGGCCCAGGCTTACAAATATAAGGATCTCTTGGGTTCACCCATCTCCATGTCACTATCATTTACTTAATAACACCTCCCAAATTCCTCAGTAATTTCGGCGGATTCTCTGGTGTGCCACGTCCCTGAAATATTGTCACACTGCATTGATTTTCGCAGATACCACTCGACCCCAAAAGAAGAATGAAGAGGATGGGAAGAACTATCACTTTGTCTCCACGGAAGACATGACAAAAGATATCTCTGCTAATGAGTTCCTGGAATTTGGAAGTCACCAGGGCTATATGTTTGGCACCAAATTTGAGACTTTGCACAAGATCCATCAACAGGGCAAAATTGCAATCCTGGACATTGAGCCTCAGGTAGGAGGGGGCCTGCCATTCAACTGTTTGTTTTATGGGTAGGGTAAATTTGTAAGCATCCTTCTACTTATTGCATGAAGCAAGGCAAAAAGAAAGGAAGGAGGGCAAAAAACGTAAAGCTCATAAATACTTAGAAAGCATAGACAGGTGGAATATATTAAGGCACATCAGAGCCAAGAAAAGGGATGGAAGATAGGTAGATCTTTCCACCTATTCTTCCTCAGTTAGGAAGTGAAGCTGAAAGTTACCCAAAACAGCTTGGGAAACTGATATAGACCAACTGGCACTGTAAAGCAACTTGAGTATACATCAATCTATGGAGGACACCAACTTGTCCTCTAAGAGCATCCCACCCTTTCCTTTGCATTATTGTTACATTTGTCATTTATATTCAGATGGACATTTTTAAATGGTCAGAATCAAGAACAGTGTAACCCTAGCCTTGTTTATGAAGCAAGAGTGAAAATGAATCATATCCGTCTCTGTTTGCTCTAGAGGGACCCAAACCTTGAAGCGTATAGGCAGTCATGTTGCAAGTCAGGAAAAAAGGCTACCTTTTCATTTTAAGACAGGTATTTACTCTGTCTCTTCCTTTTGGCAGACACTGAAAATCATCCACACTGCTGAGTTCTCTCCTTTCATCGTGTTCGTCGCTCCTCCAAACAAGGCCGATCAGGTAGCTGGCACTGAGCCCTTAATGCAAAATCACAGATGTTGTCAAAAGGCTCTTTTGGGTTTAGGGAAGAACACTCTCTCCTTAACATTTAGCTGTGTTAAGCATAGCTTTTTACCCGACCCTTCCCCCATGTGGGTGCTATGAATACAGACCAGATGTTAGCTCTCTGACTCATAGCAATTCCTGGTATAAAAGCTAAAGCCTCTTAGTTGCTGTGATTCTTGGAAAAGGTTTTGTTGAGCGTGACTTAATTGAGTAAAAATACATGTGCAGAATCATTTCAAAAGTCAAAAGCCTTTATGGTTTTTTTCCCCCAAATCAATTATGTTTTTTTTAAATCAATTTGAAATGCATCTCTAGATAGCAGAGACAAAAAGAGAAAAGAATTGGCAATTAAGGTTATCTTAAAATAATTGGGGTGACCTTGGGCCAGTCATTTCTCTCAGCCCTGGGAAGCAGGCAATGGCAAACCACTTTTGAAAAACCTTGCCAAGAAAACGGCAGGGACTTCTCCAGGCAGCCTCCGAGAATCGGACACAATTGAACAGATTAAAAAAAAAAATCTTAAAATAGACTTTTGGGGGGCTGAGCAGTAGTTTCTTCACAGCATTAAGAGAGCTTGACCCATGCCATGGCCTAACCATTGTAGTTTTCTTTCTGTATAGATGGAAACCTTGCAGCAACTTCAGAAGGATACAGAGGCCATCCAGAGCAGATATGCCCATTACTTTGATTTGGTGCTAGTGAACAACGGCATCGAGGAGAGCCTTGAACAACTGCAGGCGGCTTTTGAACGGGCATGCAGCTCCCCGCAATGGGTGCCCGTTTCCTGGGTATACTGAGCTGGTCTGGGGCTGGCAGCACTATTTCAGCCACGCTATTTCAGTGCAGCATGTTGAGGACAATGAGGGTCTCCCACTTCCTTGCTCTGTGCTTTGTCCAATACGCAACCTTCTTGGAGCAGCCATCATCGCCTGTTACTACCAGGACAAGAATCCTCCCCTTCCAGCTGCAAATATCCTCAGAAGAGTCTATCTGGATGTGGCTTGCTCTCCCTTTGCTCTGTATTTCCACTCATTTGCACATGTTAGCAGCAGGGGATAGACCAAGAATACTCTTCTTCCACTATCAATAAGGTTTTTAACAGGGATACCAAGAACACCTTCTAGGTAAAAGCCATAAATGCAGTGAATGTTAGAAGAGCCGTATTTTAACTCCACACATTTTCCCAGTTTTTCTTTCTTCGCTTGTGATAGAGGCACCTTTACAACCTTTGCATGAATGAGATTTATTCTTTCGCTCATCCTCTTTTTTGGGAGGGAAAGAGCACCATTAACTCATGCTGAACGTTGTTTAACTAGGAGTGTTCTTTTGCCTCTGTCAAAAAGGGTGTTTTTGTTCCAGTTCTACATCCAAGCACAACACCAGGGGCGTAGCCCGCAAATGACTACCTATCCATTTTGTAACAGTGATAGCAGGAGGGAGCATGGATGACCATGTGTTAAGCCTCATGCTCTGAGGATGCCAAAAAGAGACAAAGATGTGCAATAGATACATTCGGTTGAATCCATTACAGGGAAACTAACAAGCAGCAATAAAGTATGATAAAAAATGTGACTGGCATGTCTTCTTGTATGCTACCCATCTTATGAAAATTAGAAACTAAAGGTAGATGTAGACATTGTAGGAGGAGAGGCATGTTAGACTATGGTGGAAGAGAATCAGAAGTCTGGTAGCACCTTTTTGGACCAACAAATTTTATTAAATGGCAGCAGCTTTTACGAGCTGATGAATCGTATCTGATGAAGCAAGTTGCAGCTCATGATGTCCAAAAAGATGCTACCAGAGTCGTCCTAAAGACATGAAGAACAGTACCTTTTGGTTAAGGCATGCTGCAATTAGGTAAATCAGTAAATACTGACTCTGGCAGTGTTTCTCAACCCTGAAGGTGTGTGGACTTGAGCTCCCAGAATTCCCATTCTGGCTGGGGAATTCTGGGAGTTGAAGTCCACACATCTTCAAGTGGCCAAGGCTGAGAAACACTGGGCTAGGGAAAAGCAAGCAATTACTGTAGAGTTGAATACATGACATCATAAAAACTACAGCAATTCTACCATTCTCTCCTCAGCAATATGAATAAAATGAACCCATTGCTGATGAAATATAATCTGAGAATGGCAATCAGGAAAATAATACCAATTCCTCCTAGCTTCTCTATGTCAAGATGTCAGTTGCTCCCCATTCCCTGCCCCCCCCCCCAGCTTTTGCAGTGCTGTAGTCCAGCCAAAGAAAGGAGCATAAAATAAGGTATGTAATCTTTTAATAAAAAGCATTTTAAAAGGAGCATCGGTACTCTGCCTAGAAAGGGACAATGGGACAAGACTGGACTAGATCATCCTGCTGAAAAGAGTGATGTCTCTCTGCTACATTTGTGAGCAGAGACTGATTTCCAACCCTCTTCTGGAGACTGGAAAGGGTGAAAAAGGAGAAAAAGCCTCTGAACTCTGTTCTTGGGCTAGAACAGATGGCTGACAGCTCCCCCTTTGTCGGCACATGTTTTCAGGTTCCCTTCTGAACTAACAAGAGCAACAAAAGTTTTGGCATCCTGAGTGGGAAGTGTCTGGACTTGTTCTTTAGGGAATCAAGGCAAGTAAAAACAAAAAAGAAAAGGCTACAAAAACATTTTTAAATGAAGCATCTGACCACATATGACTTAACTGCTTTCTCCTCTTAATCTGCACCAACATTCAGAAACTCTTCAGGCTGACGAGTAAAAAAAACCCAGCTTGCTAACAGTGCCAAGACTGAGCATTGCATCACCTCTCCCAGACAGGACTCTCGGTTCTTCTGCAAGCAATCAGGGGCAGAGAGCCTGCTGCCTCAACTACCTCAAACTATCCTTAGAACAGGACAGAGGGGGCGTGCCACACTGGCCCCCCCAATAATTTGCACAGCAATCAGGACAAGTCTCTACACACTGATCCAGTCTGTACTTTCTGTGAAGGCCTTTGTATTTTTCCTTCCCAAACTGGTCCAGGCTGCTGGCTCTGGATGGAAGTGAGGAGTTATTCTGAACTCTCCTCTATTTCTTCTCGTTTCTTCTTCTTCTTCTTCTTTTTCACACTCGGATCACTGACCTGGGAGAAGAAGAGAAGAGTTCAAAAGATCCACACCGTGTCACTCTTTTCTGGAGAACCCAAATATTCCAATATTATTTCCAAGAAGATTAGTTCCCAAGAAAGCCAGCTACAGAGCTGGGTTGAAGGTATATTATACAAGGTTTTAATATGGCATAGTAATTAAAAAAAAAAAAGCTGTATCATTGTTACACCTCCCTTTTATTGCCATATCAGATGCTGTTCTAGACAGGCATGCCTTGCTCTTGTGAACAGGCCATCATAGATAAATCTGTCATACCGCACAAAACATCTGCAGATGTTTAAGCTGGTTATGGAATTACCTTGTTTTCACATAGACCTTCCCAGGATTTGCACATGATGCTAAACCACCAAAAAATTGTCAAGGTTAAAATTCATTAACTGTAGTATGGTGCGAAAATGCTGTCATTTGTATGGGGCCTGGTTAAGCATATTGTGTGAACAGAGTTGCTGTATTTTCAGTGGATGAAGTTCAAGTATTCACCAACAGGCAAGCAGCAGTTAACACACACATGTACGTGAAAACAAAGACGTTGCTCTTCTAACTGCATAGAAAAGATCACCAAAATTATGGAAACAGATTACACAGGGCCTACCATTTCAATTAAGTCTCCGCTGCTCTCGGCAGACTCCATCTTCCTCTTTTCCTTCTTTTTCTTTTTCTTCTTCTTCATCTCTGCTTGATCCTCTGAAGAGGCCGGGGGAGATGAAGCTACTGCTTCTTGATCACCATCACTCTCAATTTTTCTTTTCTTCTGAAAAGCAAGACAATATCAGAAGCATTCTGGCCAGAGCAGCTGTTTTGGAGCTGAGTTGCTGTTCTGGCTTCTTTAAGAAACAGAACAGTCAGTATGTTCATTATCTATGTATTCTGGTATCCTCTCTATTTTTAAAAAGCTGGAACTGAGGCTTGGCAAAACATTTTGTTTCAAGCTGCTTTGAGTACAAAGTGGACTGTCTTGAGCCTTTTGTTTCAAGCTCCAAGAAGAGCCGCTCCAAGCTCAGCACATTTCCAAGGGCCTGAAGTAGGACGTTTCATGACATTTTATACTTAAAATAGTTTGAAGCATGGCATACCCTTGCAGGGAACACAGACTAACACAGAAGGAAAATCCAGGTTTTAAATGGTTGGGACCCATTACAAACACCCTGCGGCCAGAGATGCAAATTGCACGGTTTTAGGTTTGCTGCCTGAAGAAGAAAACAGGGTCATCAATTCACTAGCAAGAAATTGTGCGGCTTGACAACTAAAGGAGAACTGAGCAAGTCTTGGACGGATCAGAGATCAGCTGGCAGCTATGCTGATTTGCCCTTCTCGTAGCCAAATTGGCACACAAGGGAACAAGACAACAGCAGCATTTGCACAGATCATCAGAAATACTTACAGGGTGATGCAAGCTGTGACGGGATTGTAAAAAGCCCAGCATTCATAGCTCTTATAGAGGCCTTTACTTTCAACTTAGTAACAAAACAAATTTTAGCAGCAGGACTGAAAGGCAAGGACCGCTCCCTATCCCCAAAGAGACAAGATACTGATGCAGAGCTTGGCAATAAACCAACCTTGGGCATCCTTTCTGGCTGCTCTTGAATCTCTTCTGCCTCCTTCTCTTCTACCTCCTTCTTTACAGAAACCCTAGGAAGAAACGGGAGTTTAGTTTGCACTTTTCCTGCAGGTGAGATGGAGGGCCAGTCTACCCTAGTCTGCCCCACTCTTACCCCGAAGGGGAAATGGGATGTATGGAAAGCTGGCATAGACACCCACGTGCATGGAGCCAAGTGCAGCTTTCCTAGATTCATGTAGCAGGCTGACTCCCTCTAGAGTCATGGAAAGCAGACCAAAAAGGGATAACTGCCTGCTAACACAGAGCAAACAGGACCCTCTCCATCCCTCTCGCTTTCCTAGCGCAATTGACTTAATAGGCCGGTAACCAGCATTTCTTAAGACTGAGGCACCAGCAGACATTACCTGTTATAATCCACATAGTCTTTTCTCCAAGCTTGTGGAGTTTTCTCATTAGGTTTGCCGTGAGCATCCAATAATCCTTGCTTGATCATCATCTTCTTCTGAGAAGCCTGAGGATAAATAAGGAAAACAGTTCAGTTTCTGCATTGCCTCTGGCTGACACAGTGTGCAGTAAGGTCCCGGGCTCTGAAATAAAACTAAACTGCACTCCAGTCTGCTGCCACCTTTAGAGGCAATGAAGCCCACAGGCAAAACAGATGTCAAAAACGCAGGACTGCTTATATAAGCTGAAGTCTCCTATTCTCGCATGCCCAGTCTATAGTCAGGAGCCATCAGTCTTGGGTGATAGATCGGTGTCATCTTTGCACAGAGTGCTCACCAAGGTTATTTAAACATCATTTGGCTCACCAGAGAGATCCAACAGCAAGGGCTGCTACTCAAATTGAGTCAAGCTTAAAAACATTCAGAAGTTACAAAAGGTATCTACATCCAGGGAAGAACAGTAACTAAGGAGAGCAAAAACAGAGGAAGCCAAGGAAACTGCTAAAGACCTGAAAAAATCGGGTTCCTTATATTGTGACAGTTCTGCGGCTCTGCCAGACAGCACAGCTACAGAGAACGATAACTGTTCCTCTTTAGGATCTGTTAGTCCTTCAAAAGGCAAATAATTCACTGCCATCCAAGACTTACTTTGGGACCAAGCCCCCACTTGCGAGGATAGGTGTCTCTTTCCATGATCACACGCTTAATCTTTGCCACAACTCCATGGTCACAGGTAGAGATTACTGCAGTGGTCATCAAAGCAACAGCTGAAGGAAAACATATAAAGAAAAGCGGAGCATTTTTAAACAAGGCACCACAGAAGTCCTCACATAGCCTCAGAGTCAGCTCTGCAGATGCAATCAATTTTGGAAGGGCTTAGCATATCCCAAGCTGTTTAATTCTTTGCTTGAACTTGCTGAGCAGGAATATGAGAGTTCTTCCTCCAAAGAAGTTGTATTACATCCCTTACTCATGGTGTCCTATCTTGAAATGATTCTCTCTCTAGAAAGCAGATTTTTTCCCCTCTGATTTTTCACGTGGGAAACACATCTGTGCATACAAGAATATAAAGAAAGCAGAGATCATGTTTACCTGCCAAGAAAAACGCCCAAGCTGTAGTGGAGTATTTGATATTATTTTTCTGTATTTCTGTAGTTAGGATTTGTCATTATAGAAAGGCACATCAGAGCAAAATGTGATCAGACAGCTTCATTCTTCTTAGTTGAGTCAGAACCCCACATGAAAGGGGTCTGGCTCTGCTTTTTCTGCCCAGACCCAGTCAGTAGCCAGCCAAACACACTCACAAGCTCCAGTAGAACACTGGAAGCCTGGAAGATGTTTGGAAGCCACAGAACATTGAGGCTACAGAACTGAAGCCTCAATGTGACAGGAAGGGAAGAGCAGCTGCACTCAGAGAATGGATAAACGTCATCATCATTTCACATATAGCCCTGAGCAAATCCAAGTGGAAAGGGATGCTGAAAACATGTTTCAAAGGCCACACAAAGCCATGCTACAGTTCTAGAGATGTGCCTTGTGAGAACTGAGAGGAAAAAAACAGAAGAACCTCATTTCTGATCTATCAGCCTACAGGAAAAAGCTCTTTGCCATAAGTCCTGCAATTTCCCTCTCGTGCCATGGCGTTTCCTCGGCCCAGAACCATGCGTGTCCATGCCTAGCAAGGTGAGATTGACAGCATCATGTTAAGTTATCTCTGTGGCTGCACCTTTACATTCAAAAGCAGACCTGTGGGAACATGCGTCCTCCTCCTAATCTGAGGATGTCCCCTACATAAAATGTAATATACTTTTAATGACTTTTCTACCAGAGAGCTTCTAAGTAGCATACAGCAAAAGAATTTAAATCACACAATAAAGCAAGAATTTAACTTTCCACTAGATGTCTGTAATTTGTCTGTGATTTTCAGTGCTAAGAAGTATTATAGGATACTGTCCAAAATAATGACAATTATGCTGGTAGCATAAAAAGAAACTCCAGACACTTCTAGAAGAGCTGTGACTGGGAAGAGTCATCAGAAGAACTGCAGACAAAATTCCTAGCGAGCAGGCCCACCCTCCCATTCTTACCTATGCAGATGGCCTCTCCTTTTGTGGTGATCACAACTATTTCCTGATTGACTTCAATCCCATCTTCATACCGCAGTAATCCAGGAAGCATGATCTTTGCACCATAGCAAATTGCATTCACCTGAATGAAAAGCAGTGACTATCTTAGCAGCGAATCCTACATTTCAGCTGGAATTGTTCCTTCTGATTTCAAACTCTTGAAAACTCAATTCAATTCATTATGCTCGTAGACCAGTACAAGCAGAGTGCTCTGTGAACATATATACATTTATCTTAATAGATAATAAATGAAATAAAATTTAAGACAAAGTTAAAGTATACTTATAAAACAACCTAACTAGCATCTATGAGTGAGGTGCAGGATGCAGACTATGTTTAAATTATGAAATAGACACTAAAATTACATAAAGTACAACATCTAAAATTATAAAAAAGCAATTAATATGTAAAATTTAAATAATCCTCACAAGCGTACAGTGCTTTTGCATTTCACAGCCTTGAACACAGCCCCACAAGTTACACAGAGGAAGGCTAACAGCATACAATCCTGTCTCAATTAGGCAGCACTTTTCATTCCTGGAAATGCTTAACAGAGTTACTTATTAAAATACCACCTTACAAGAGATGTTCGAGAAAATGAGTGGGGCCCCTTCTAAGAAAAGTCCTGCTGCAGCACAAAGAATTTTCAGTTCCCCTAAGATGCTGCTTTACAAAAACAAGTTTGAACTCATCAGATTTCTTTAAATGTCCCTACTTGGTACAAAGATGAAACCAGTCATCTGTAAACAATTACTGATTCTATCTCTGGCCTGGAAGCAATCCCAGGAACAAATTTATTATTTATGTACTGGATTTACAGCCAGCCATTGCTGTATAAGCTTAAAGCAGGATACATACAACTCCCCCCCTCCTCTTTCTTCTAACCACCAACCTGGCAAGGTAGGCCAGGCTGAGCCAGAGAGACTACAGTTCTAAGTTAGAGCAACCAACGGCAAGGCCACCAGCGCAAATAGGGGCACTTACCGCACTGTCCTTCATAACAAGCCGCTTGTGTGATACCAGCAACTTCTCCAAAGGGAAGATCACCCTTCGCAGGTAACTCTCATCCTTATTGTTGTCATACTGCCACTGAGCATCCAGCACATCGTGCATGGTCACCATGTGGTCCTAGAAGCAGATCCCCGCCAGCCCCTGGAGTATTAGAATTCTTGCTAGGAACACAGAATGCTGTTTTACAGAAGTCAAGGTCAGCTGAACTATATATGAGAAGAAGCTGAAACTCTCTTGTCTCTTAAGCTGGATCCTTTCATCTATCTATCTATCTATCTATCTATCTATCTATCTATCTTATACATATTTTAAATACATATATTTAAAAACAAAGGTAAAAACTAATATAAACTAATACAGAGTAAGGAAGAACTGCTGTACC